GGTCGCCTTAGGAGCACAGCAGCGGCGGCTGCGACACTGTCCCTGCGACACTGTCCCTACGGCGAAGGGCAGAGCTCTGGACCAGCCCAGCACCTGCGCCAGCCGGCGTAAGCTACTTCACATCCCGGGGTCCCAGTTTCCTCTGTAAAGTGGGGACACTAACTAGAACACTGCTGGACATACAATAAATGCTACATGTTAGCAACGGGGGTGGGGGGCCGGGGGCTTAGCGCCTCGATTTCCCTTCTCCCATCCTTCCTCACGCAGCAGAGCACAGTGGTCTTTTTTTTTTTTTTTTTTTTAATGCAAATCTGATCACACCGGACCAATGCTAAAAGCTTTTAATGGTTTCCCATTGCCTTCAGGAATCTCTGGCTCGTACCGTTCTAAATTCCAGCCGGTATCCGTCATCTTGGAGCTGCTCCAACACTTTGGGGCCTTCGCGCGCGTCATTCCCCAGCTGGAACACCGGCCCATCTATTGATCCTTTATAATGGGATTAAGGGTGACTTTCCGATCTCCAAGAATGAATAAAGAAATCTCTGTTCACGCTTCTAGTTCCCAGCCCTGCGCTTCCCCTAAGGTAACTAAGTACCCCACGTGTATTTCCCAGCGGTCCGCCACCTCTGCGGGGCAAACGCTCTCACCCGCCCGGCCGGGCCGCAGCCCTAAGCCAAGCCCCGGTGGGATGAATATTCACGACTCACCGAAACTGCCACGAGGCAAAGTTAAAATTTCCAATGAAGTTCCTGGATCTCTGAGATCTCCCCACCCCCTACTCCTTATCACACCCATAAATTTGTGTCCAGTATTTTCTTTCCACTGCCTACCCCCAGCTCGCAGGCGTATCCTCTCCACAGGCATCTACGGCTGCCAGTCACCCTCCCTTCCCCCGGAGCCGGCGCCCCTAGGTGCCCCTCCCAACGCCGGAGGACTCCCTCCGCGGTCCCTGAAACCCTCCCCAGGTCCCCCCCCGCGGCCCGCGGTGGCGCCCACCTTCCCCGAGGCCACAGGCCCTTTCATTCCAGCTCCGGGGGCGCAGCGCAGACCGCCCTCTGCGCCCCTCCTCAAACAGGCCGCCTTCCCAAGCGGCGCTCACAGCTCCCGCGAACCCACGCGTCCCCCTCCGTTCCAGCAGACGGAGCACGCACCCCAAGCCATGCACACACGCACCCCGACAAACCTCTCGCTGCCCAGATGCACCCTAGGGGCCCCGTTCCCACGCGCGCTCCGCATCTCATGACTCTCCCCCCACCCGCTCCGGCCGCCCCTCGGACACGCGGCCCCACCTCCTCCCGTCGGCCGGGCCCCAGCGCCCTCTGCCCACCCCCGAGGCAGGGCCAGTTCCGGGCCTCCCCGCGACGCGGGTCCCTTCCCAGGCCCTCCAC